ACAACACCAGGGATTCGCTGGTCGTCACCGACCCAACTACTAGTCTGGCCCTCACTGGCTTATCTATGGGAGAGCGGACGGGATCCCGAGTTTTCCAGTGGGTATGGTCGTATGTACTTGTGCTTTTCAGATTAGCCACTTATGTATGTTGTTGGACTGGATTGTGCAAGACGAAACAGTGTTTTGTTTGGTTGAGTGGTGGCGTGGGATAAACCTCGTCGTGAATGCTTTACGATCGCAGTTAAGGGGATCACAGATTGTACAAAATACTTTTTACTATGATATGGATCCACAATGTCGGAGACAATTAGGAGAGAAAAGTCGACGCCCAAGATCGTCACTGCGACTGTGCCTGTATAATGATTGATAATACGAGTGAGCGGTACCTAAACATCGCCCTTTACTGACTCCTGAAGAGCAACATTTGTCGTGTACACCATGATGATTCCCTGACAGAAGATAGAAGAACCTCCGTGTGAAAGATTGTAGTGTCGTTATTAGAGAGTGACAAGTACGTACACTACCAACGCTTGTCACATGCCACGAGCTACGACGACCAGCAGCACTAGGTAGTGCACATGTACGTGTACGTGTACGAACGCATGGCTTTATCACCTTCAATTAATCGTCGCTCGTCATTGTGACATTTCTCTTTTAGTCCAAGACGGACGACTGCACATCATTCGACGACGTTTACATACATTTCGTTTCGTAGGGCTGAACTAACCACACTCTCACCGTAATTCTGTCCATTCATTATCCCCCGCGCGCGCGCGCGCGTGCGTGTTGCACATTCAACAGCATGTGAAAGTCCCGGGAGGGCGGTTGTAGGTATGTAGTTGGTAGGGCTGGCTGGGCCAGAAGAGAAACAGAAAAAAAATCGTACGATTTTGATGTCAAGGTGAGAGACGCAAAGTGGGTCACGACGAACCTAAAAATCCGGGGGACCAGGGGATGGATGAACGACACGACATCATCGCAAAGTCGGGACGGGCCTTGTTAGTCTCTGTGTGGGAAGAAGATCTGGAATAGGTACATATGATTTTTGGAGACGTTTGATATTTGAAGCTGTTGATGGATGATGGCTGTTTTCTGGGTCATTGTTTGTGATAAAATGGATGACGAGGTCGTGGAGAGTCATAACGGCAAATCCCTCTACTCCCTGTGTTCGATGGGAGCGAACGGTACGAACATGCAAGGGATCACGGGGCGGCCCGACATGGGGGGGTCTCCCATCCACAATCTGCTGGGCTCTTTTGCTGGGCGCACCAGTCTCAAAAAGCCGCCGATGTGGTTGTCGCACGGATATTGTTGTCTCGTTCGGAAGTATGGCCAGGAGTTGAGCTGTTGAGGGAATTCGGCAAGTACCGAACCAAAGCCGTGAAGTCAATATCAAGCTCGTGGAAAAGACCGTTCGTCTCTTCCTCGGATTCCGCGGGCTTTGAACAACGTCCCCAGGTCCAGGAAACTGTTGGCGAATCTGCACGTCCGGGAGCCCCCCTGCCGCATCAATTTTCTGGCCTGTACACATACCTCATTGCGCACGGATCACCGATCAGAAAAGCAAGCCGCGCATCGATTAAAACACCGCCCCCTTTTGCGGAGGAGGCGCCTATGGCTGTGGGGGTGCAATATACTGAGTTGTCAATACCCTCATTTTGGCGAGTCAGAACCATTTCGATATCAAGGCAAAACTCGATCTCTTTGCCGTCAACAAAAGAAGCGAATGTGCGCTCGGGCCAAAGGGTTGATTTTAAGGCAGCAAAAGCAGACTTGTTAGGGCCATGTAAGGGTGCCGTTCCCGCGGGCGCGGACAACATGTTGGGGATCTGCGGGGCCCAGCGCCCGCACTAACATTTTCGTTTGCTGCTGTGCCGATCCCCTGAAAAGGCGCTGAACCTCGCCAGCGGAACATCCTTGGTCGTCCCGTTCAACCCCTCAGTGGGTGAAGATATTTTGGTTGTTTTCAAGGCGAGGCTCGTTCAATTGTTCCGTGCTCAACCCTCCGTCTCACGCGGGGAGGTTCGGCCTTGTCGGGGGGTTTCCGTACAAGGTTTTTGCGAACCCAACAAATCTTGGGGGTACGTACCGAAGATCTCATCGTAATTTTCATACATGCCGTTACCATGTGACCCACCGACGCCACTTCGGTTTGGGGTGGAGGTGCACCCCGAGTCCCTGACAGCCCGGAATGGAGGAGATGGACTACATAAGCACGTACCCTATGTGACCACTTTCGGTGACTTTTCATCATCGGACATTGACTTTGGCGCGCCGTATGTACGAGACTAAACCGATGTCTGTTAGCTTCATTGGGAGGACGGGCATATCATTCAGTCAGCCGCCAATGTTCGTTTTGGAAGCCTGTCATCGCCAGTGTTGTCCTTGTGTTGGCCTCTTCAAACCATTGTCTTGCCAATTTCCCCACGTTCCACCGGGGTATCGACCGGAGGTTACATGCGCCCATGTCGCACCAGACGTCAGCTTTCGGTCGGCCAGTCTTTTGAACACCGGAGCCCCACGGACAAGCTAATGACAACTTGGGAAGTTAAGGTCCATGATCCCCATGATTCGGTTGTTGTGTTGTGCTGGATCCGTGTTTAAATTGCGATGTGGGCTGGAGGTTGGGTGTGGAAGACTGCAAGCGTTGTGATGGAGACATCATCTGAGCTGCGATATGGCGTAAGACAAGAAACAGGCGGGCCATCATGCTGATATAAACGAAGATGGAAGTCAATGGAAGGACAAGAGCAGAAGGGCATCTAATAATGTAGAAAAAAACAGACCGCCACAAATGTCATGACTACAGCGACTCTGAATCACGTCCGTCTGCGGCGTGAAAATGACTGCATCCGGACTTTGCGCCATGCTTCGTGAGACAAGACTGGACCATCCATCGGTACGTAGCGGGGGATTCCCGGGTTAGTCCAAGCAGCAACATCAATGTCTTTTGTCTATCAAAGTAGTGTAGATGTCGAGAATAATCAAATCAATTGCTACATGAGAACTTGTGGACACCGCAAAAAGCTGTAAGAACGACGGAGGTCGTGTGTATTCGGCGTACGAAGCTGACGATTGGCAAAGGTGTGGTTGGGCAGTCGCCTCGGTTCCTGACATTGTGATTGGAGCAGTGGGCCTTCCCCAACGATCCCGTTCGGGTGAGAATCGACGTCCGTGATTGGGTGATTTCTGACACTTCTCAATTGGAACCCACAATTGGCTTCGCTTTGGCTAAATCCACCCCTCCCTCCCTTTCCGCCTTTTTTTTGGGCGAACCGGCTTGGCACTTGCCCCTGGCTTCTCCAATTGACGAACTGAACCCCAAAGGTTCCCAAACCTTGCCGAATCTGAAGGGCGAATCCCACCTTGATGCCATCCACCGCCTTGGATAGGCAGGCGGGAGCAAATGGCAAGATTGGCCTCGATAGCGATACCATTTGGCGGGGTTGAAATGTCGCAGTGGGGGACATCAGAGCAGCGACCACTCAACTCCAGGAGATTGGAAGGATGAAGCAAGAGGGAAGAGATGGGGGAATCAAGTATTTATGCATTATCGGAAAGAGAACGGGCTGACTTTAGTTGTCCGAGTTCATCCCGTTTCGCTCTCGGTCCTTGTAAGTATTGTTTTGGAGTTGAGGTTGAGTGGGCGCAATCGAAGTGGAAGTACATGTAGTGTACCTGTACCCAATTGCCCCACTTGTGGCTGCGATTTTCCCATCAAACCCGCAAAGTTGTGTCTCGAAGTCGCCCATTTGGAAAGTTCGGATGCAATACCGCGGCATTACAACGAATCTTTCACGGCCGTCTGCTCGCTCTTGCCCCTCCAGCTTCAAGTATCAAAAGGTTCCTGTCGCCCTCTTCCGGTCGCCTCCTTCCAGGTTGCTTCGTCCCTTCACTCCTCCTCGCTCCCTCTGGTCCTGTGGTCTGGTCTTGCCGTCCTCGTCCAATTTAGCTTCAGGAATTTCGTCGTCCCTCCACGTCGTCTTCCTCCTCCTTCCTCCCACTCTTCTCTACCTGACCTACCAAGACCTTTTTGACCAAGGCAATCGCGTGCGGCAAATCCCCCCTCCTCCAGCCAGCACCACTCCATCCATCTTTGCTCAAGATCTTCAGTTTTCTTGCTGCACCTCCTCCTTCTTGCTCAGCCTCTTGCTAAGCAGCCTCGATTGTTTATTGTTGACGTCGACATTGATCGAGCAATCGCACGACACACACTTTCCCCTTACATCCCTGCAGAGATACCCCGTGCGGCTTCTGTCGTAATTTTCCACCCACTTTCCAACTTCTCCACGACAACTTGACTCGGTGAGTGTTCCTCTGCATTCACTGCACCTGCAGGCAGCTCCCTTCACTCCCCCCTCCCAGGCAGAGCACCGGCCCATTAGCACAGCCAGCATGTTCCCAGTCCCCTCCTGCTTGTGCCTGGACTGGACACAATTCGACTCGCTCTACCCCCAATTCCCCGATACCCAACAAACCAAAGCTGATGCGACCACCGCATCCACCACCCTGCCACTCCAGTCTCTTTCCACTACCATAACCCTTAATTACCACCAGCTGCCCCGCCTCACGACATTCTGCCACACCACATCTTTGCTTTGCCGACGAGGAGCTGGAAACTGACAGCAGCATTCTTTTTTTGCAGGCGATTTGTTAGCTGAGCCGAGCTGAATAACCGAAACACTCCACTGACCGATACTTGAATTCGGCTGTTTCGGAAAATAGGTATACATCGACCGAGTGTAACATTGAAAGCGGCTTCCTCCTCTCCGCATTCGATCCACGACGACGACGACTCCTCCGACTCGACAAAACAACACCACATATTTACAGACAAAATGGCGGACACAACAGCGAGTGACGCCGTCGTCCAGGCTTCATATGCCGCCAAGCACAACCTGGCCCCCCATTTCATTGGCGGTAACAGGCTCGAGAATGCCCCTCCCTCCAAGGTCAAGGACTTTGTGGCCTCCCACGATGGTCACACTGTCATCACCAACGTACGTTTCCTCGCTCTCCCGGCGGTCCAACGCACATTTTGCTGACATTTGCTTGTTTTCCAGGTCCTTATTGCCAACAACGGTATTGCTGCCGTCAAGGAGATTCGCTCAGTAAGGAAATGGGCTTACGAAACATTCGGCGACGAGCGCGCCATCAAGTTCACCGTCATGGCCACCCCCGAAGATCTGCAGGCCAACGCCGACTACATCAGGATGGCTGATCACTACGTTGAAGTCCCCGGCGGCACAAATAATCACAACTATGCCAACGTCGAGCTGATCGTGGATATTGCCGAGCGTATGGATGTCCACGCTGTGTGGGCTGGTTGGTGCGTAGACAAGAGTCCTGCTTTTGGGGTTGATGGCATGAAAATACTGACTGTTCGAATAGGGGTCACGCCTCCGAAAACCCCAAGCTTCCCGAGTCCCTTGCGGCTTCCCCCAAAAAGATTGTTTTCATTGGTCCTCCGGGTTCTGCCATGCGCTCCCTTGGTGACAAGATTTCCTCGACAATTGTTGCCCAGCACGCCGACGTTCCTTGTATCCCTTGGTCTGGTACCGGTGTTAGCGAGGTCACGGTCGACGACAATGGCATTGTTACGGTTCCTGATGACGTTTACCTCAAGGGCTGCGTCAGCTCGTGGCAGGAGGGTCTGGAAAAGGCCAGGGAGATTGGTTTCCCAGTAATGATCAAGGCCTCCGAAGGTGGTGGTGGCAAGGGTATCCGCAAGGTCCTCAACGAGGACAACTTCGAGTCGCTCTACAACGCTGCCGCTAGCGAAATTCCCGGCTCGCCCATCTTTATCATGAAGCTCGCCGACAGCGCCAGGCATTTGGAGGTTCAGCTTCTTGCTGATCAGTACGGCAACAACATCTCCCTCTTCGGCAGAGATTGCTCGGTCCAGCGCAGACATCAAAAGATTATCGAAGAGGCCCCCGTCACCATCGCCAAGCCCATGACCTTCAAGGCCATGGAGGAGGCTGCTGTCCGTCTTGGTCGTCTCGTCGGTTACGTCTCGGCCGGTACCGTCGAGTACCTCTACTCCCACGCCGATGACAAGTTCTACTTCCTCGAGTTGAACCCCCGTCTGCAGGTCGAGCATCCTACCACTGAAATGGTCAGTGGTGTCAACCTTCCGGCTGCTCAGCTCCAGGTTGCCATGGGTATTCCCCTCCACCGCATCCGCGACATCAGACTGCTCTACGGCGTCGACCCCAGGACTGCTAGCGAGATCGACTTCGAGTTCAAGAACCCCGAGTCCGAGAAGACCCAGCGCAGGCCTACCCCCAAGGGCCACACCACTGCCTGCCGTATCACCTCCGAGGATCCCGGTGAGGGCTTCAAGCCATCCAACGGTGTGTTGCACGATCTCAACTTCCGTTCGAGCTCCAACGTCTGGGGTTACTTCTCCGTCGGTTCTGCCGGTGGTATTCACAGTTTCTCCGACTCGCAGTTCGGTCACATCTTTGCCTATGGCGAGAACCGTGCCGCCTCGCGAAAGCACATGGTCGTTGCCCTCAAGGAATTGAGCATCCGCGGTGACTTCCGTACCACCGTCGAGTACCTCATCAAGCTTTTGGAGACTGAGGCCTTCGAGGAGAACACCATCACTACCGGCTGGCTCGATGAGCTTATTTCCAAGAAGCTCACTGCTGAGCGTCCCGACCCCATTCTGGCCGTTGTTTGCGGTGCCGTCACCAAGGCCCACATTGCGAGCGAAGGCTGCATGACCGAGTACCGTGCTGGTCTTGAGAAGGGTCAGGTCCCCTCCAAGGACATCCTCAAGACTGTCTTCCCCGTCGACTTTATCTACGAGGGT